AAGGGAGGGAGGGAAGAAGCTTGGTTCCCTCCCTCCCTCCTTCCCTCCCCCACCTTCACCGACCTTCATCGCCATCAGCTCCTGCATGAGCACGGTGTTCTCCAGGTTCAGCTCATGCAGGAGCATGGCGATGGAGGTCAGTGAAGGCGGGGAAGGCAAGCAGACAGACAGACAGACAGATGCTGATATGGCCATTTGAATTCTTTGGATTTAGCAGTGCTATGTGGACTTAGATAGACATTTTAATGATCTATGCTATAAAAAGGTCTTATGCACTACATGAAATTTATTCAGTATTTATTTGGATAGATGAATATTAAAGGCATACTAGGATTATGCATTGTTGACGAATGCTAGAGTAACTCGCACCTTGTGTAGTTAATAAGTACATAACCTTATAACCAAACGCATATTTGTTTGTCCAATATCACTGCTGGTTACATTACAAGCAAAACTTGCAATCGGTTGTTGATATTCATTTACGTGCCGTAAATGTCATCCAGGAGTCAAGCGATGACGTAAACATTTGTAAGGCCCGTATGTTTTGGACGCCAGATAAATGGAGGTGTCAGCGGTGTAAGCACGGCCACGGACTAAACATGGAAATGGAGTAATACACACGTACTAATCACGGACGCACATTGTCATGGACAGCCCTGACAAAAAGTTCCTTATCACGAGCGTCCGTGTTTACGAAATCACTGATGATAGCATTGCGTACGGCCGAGCATGCGTGCGAAAATGTCCGGTGCACTATAAATCTGTATCACGCCCGCTTCGCCGGCAGCGGTTTGAAACTGTAAACAACTGATTTCTTGGACTGCGGATTTCAATTAGACATTTCTTAGTAACCAGCAGTGATATTGGACAAACTAATACGCGTTTGGATGTAAGGTTATGTACTTATTAACTACACAAGGTGCCAGTTACTCTAGCATTCGTCAACATTGCATAATCAATGGGCCTAGTATGCCTTTAAGAGGCATGAGAAAAAAGTGACCTGCATTGAACGATGCAGTACTTCACAGAGTAGTGTACCCATTCACATGCTACATCCCTGAGTTGATCCATACGCATAGTGATGTTTAATTGTTATTTTTAGGAGGAAAAAACAGAATTAAAGGCCATTAACTATATGCTGGGAAAAGAGAAGAAGGCGCTTGAACTGCACCTAGACAGTTGTGAGTCACGGGAACATGCGTCTAACCTCCATATCACTCATCTGAAAGCTACCATTGCAGAACTTGAAGAGAAACTCGAGAAATTATCGAGAAAGGTACGTTTGTGACGGTATATGCTTCGTAGCAGCATTCATTGCATAAACCCTGGCTCATCCCAACTGCACATCCTATTTTCACTCGACCATTTGAAAATGCTGACTCGTCACTTCGACTCTCATTGGTTTAGTGCGACTCTCGGAATCGTAGATCGCTGGTTAGATGTCAAAGGTGTGTTTCAGGTGCGCAGATGTCAGGTTAAATTATGTCATGATCAACAGGTTTTCGTCTAAATAAGTTATTTAAGTATAGTTATGTTATAATTAAGTTTAATTATAGTATAGTTAATTTTTTTTTAAGTATTATACTTTTTATACTTTTTTCATACTTTTTTCATGCAAAAATACTTTAAAATACTTTTTTTGCCAAAGATGGTCAAAACTCTTCGGACTTACATTTAGGTACACTGTACTTGATGAGATTAAAGATGTGCTTTGCTAGTCTTGTTGCAGGAGTGATGTGTGCTCTGTTCAGTGGAGTGTTTTGCTCTCAGCTCTCTGCTGTCAGTGACCAAATGACAGACCATTGCAGTGTTTCCCCTGCATTGACACGAGCGAGGCGGACCGCCTCGCTCAAATTCTCAGCCGCCACACAGAAATTTGTCCAAAACATCGCCTCGCTGACGAAACTTTTGATAACTTGAAAAAAGGATTCAAGAGTCTTATGCAATGGGTCCAGAATAGCTTAGAATGCACCAAATTGCATTATTTTTTTTAAAAATTCCCTGGGAGAGCATGCCCCCAGACCCCCTAGCTGGCCAGGCACATGCACTGCTCACTGTGCTAGGACCTCGCAACACACAAACACATCACACACAAATTTACCGCCTTACAGGCCTTTCTGGCCAAGGGAAACACTGCATTGAAATATTCTAAACAGAGAGTTCAAGAGACAACTTCTTATTCCATTGCACACATCATTCCTGAAGCTTGTTTACATGCTGCACATAGGCTATAATGTATTCGGTAATAAGGTATAAGAAATCATGGTATGTTGGTACAAATTTATACTTTTTTTATACTTTTTTTAGGCAATTTTGATGCTTTTTTCTGGACAGATTTTATACTTTTTTTGTAATATCTTGAGTGGCAGCACTGGTCTAGGCTGAGCAGCAAAAATGCTGGTGGTAATGGCAGTCGCTAGCTGGTCTAAGATGCATTGGCAGACCGGCCACTGTCACCACGTGTACATTCTCTAGCCGCGTAAATCGTTAAACCCAGAACAGCATGCAGCATGATGTCTTATACGACTGCGATGCGAATTTTTTCCTGGCTGAAGGTCAGAGAAGGTCACAAGTACAGAGAGATTCCTGCCAATATTCACTGCTAACCATTTTCTTTGATGAAGGTCAGTGAAGGTCACGAATACGAGGAGAATCCTGATGAGGAACTGGCTGCTGGCCTTGCGAGGGAGGCACAGCTGAAGAGTAGGATACAAGAGCTGCTGCAGACGCTAGAGTCGATATCGTCAAATGCCGAGGATCGATATCAACAGTCAACCGAGTTTGTGAACGATCTTAAAAAGGCGAATAGGTAGACTGATAAACTTTTGAACTTACACTTGCTTCTTCATCGTCTTTTTTAAGACGATGTATCTATTTTAATTTTGCAACTCCGGTGGTCTTTCATACAGATGTTTATTGTTATTTATAGTTTATGTTTTATGTTATGTATCAGGGGTGTTAATATGCAGAAGTATTGGATAATCCACTAATATACTTATATGCTGATAATTATAAAAGTGGGACTACCACACTAAGGGAATGGTAATGAAGATGGTTCATTCTGTTTAACTGTTTAATTTGCAGTGCACTTATATCTGCTTTTGAGAAATCAAAGAAAAAACATCAAAACAAGATTAAAAGATTAGAGCAGCAGATGACTGCTATGCTAGAGCGGCACACTGGCCAGGTAAGCACATCTTTTTGTTTTGGCTGATATATAGAAAATTCCACATTGTATATCACATATTTGTTACTTGTGTTTGAAAAGAAAAGAAAAAGGAAAAAGGCAGCGTATGGTTGTAAAAATACCACATTGTAATTGGTGCTAAGCATGTCATGTAACATGAAATAAAAAAAAGTATTATTGAAATTTGTTACATTATGAATGGTAAGCCTTTAACAATTTTGAATCTAAAAGTCAATTTTAGCTCGAAAATACCAGAAAAAATAGACCAGCACTCGATCCATTAGACTATGCTGCTCTCACAATTTGGCAGCATTTGTATAATATTATATTATATTATATTAGCATTTGTTTTTTTTAAATTTTGTTGTTGTGTTGGTGACTTTTTTTCAGGTGAGAACTCTGCAGCAGCGCATACGTCTGCTTGAGGAAGAGAACAGTAGACCACCGACGAATGAAACCTCCCTCTAATGACGCTGTTGCACCCGCCAATGACATGATGAACATTATACAAAACGTCTTACTTCGCAGTGCGTGGAAGTTTTAAGGGGTCATTTAATAACAACAGTTTCGTACCAGTATATATTTTACGTGCTTGTTATTTTGTGCAATGACTGAATCGCTGAAATGCGAATTTAATTTCGCCTATAGTGGTTTTTATTATTTTGTTTGAATATTGCCACCTGCTGATTATGCGTAATTATGAAAACCTTATCATATGTAATGTATGTTGATGGACGGTTGGCCTGCATATTGAAGGCTGGATGGCCTGCGTCGTTATGGATATCCAGCCATTACAGCTTCCATAGATGTCTTCCTATTGAAATCCAATCTGCATGAAGTCGTGCATGGATAGTCCACAGTGTCTCATGTTTATTCTGATAATTTTTTATTAGAAAGACACGACGTATTATAAGTAGTTGCTCAATAAAGCCTTTGGACTGTCTTTCATACATTCACTTGGCAATACACGAATTGGTAAAATGTTTGAGTTTGCCAAACCAGAACTATGGATTGTAATTGTAAGGAAAACAGTACTTATGGTAGTCAAGATCTGAAACCTGTAAGTCTGTCATAGATGCACACAGCTACACGCGCGACGTTTGCTATTCTGGCAGGGTTACATGAAAAATGTTGCAAGGTTCGTCACTGATGTTATTTTTTTCTGGAAGAAGTAACAATGGTGTGAATACGAGAAATCACGTCCTGTTGTTATAGCATTGGACAGTAAAGTTGCCAACATGTACATTTTGAGCTTTTTTGGCAAGGAAAACGTATTGTTAACACATAGTGCTGAAATTATTTATTTAAACTACGTATATAACTTCTTTAATGTGTATGAATTGTATGGGTAAAATGTTATCTGAATATTTACTAGTAACATGCAATTACTTCCCTTGAAAAAATTCATTATCTTATAGGTAATGATGGCGTGTCACAAATCATAGTAATTGTAATTTCCCTCGTGAGTGTTAAAATATTCTGTATGCTGTAAAAAATGTCTGGCTCTACAATTAAAGTGTAGTATTTTATTTTGTACAATTACCATTATATAATGACGAATGCTGTGCGTACGTGCTTGCGTGCGTGCGTGTCTATCAGGGGGCCCATGGAAGATCTATATGTTCGTATAGATCGCTTACACTACATATATATTTATGATATTAGAGTTTTTAAATATGCAGCAAATATCGTCTTTTGTAAATAATGTGTGCTAGTAATGTACATTATATATGCAATTGCTCTATATCCGTTTGATCATTTGATGAATATCGATAGAATTTGTTCGTGTACCATCCGTGATCCGGAAATACATATGCCGCGTAATTGCAAATGTATTCAGTTGCAGCTGTTCCGTATTCATTATACGGCTTTTTACTACTGTACGTAGCTTGTTAGATAAATTATTATAGTGTACGTATGCCTCAACCTTATATGATCTGCAATTTCCTGAACGATGCTGTAGTGTTAATTGTACGTCCGTTTATTGATCGTGTCAAAACGAAACTTCCCCGAGATATAAGTCGCGTTCACACGGTCATGATTTGGCTCGAGCCAAATGGGCTAGATTTGGCTCGGGCCAAATTTGGCTCGGGTCGGTTTGAGTCGGCGTGTTCACACGTACGCAAGTGAATACTGTCAGAACCGAGTAACTATGCACCGCAGCCGTGATGTCGAAAATCAACTTACGCTGGCATCGGGGCTTCCATGATCAAGCAAGGCGGCGATAGCCCCAGGAATGTAGCTTTTCCCCCACGCAGCTTCGGATCGGCTGACTCTTGCGCACCTCCTCCACAAATCGAGGGAAACTCCGCTGTATAATTTGTTAGAGGGGGACCTGCGCTTCGCGGCTACCCTGCATCCATTAAATTGTAATGATATGGATAAATTGTTGAATACATGCTCCAATTATTATACCCGATAGCGGATATGTGTGCACTTTGATGGCTTTCAGTGTAGAAATTAAGAGTCTTGTATTTGGGTTCCCAATGCCTCGATTTATGAAATCTAATCTCAGTAGTTGATCGTGCGACAGTAAATCACGTATACCATTCCAAAACCCTTATCGACAGAGACTTTTATTCCTATTGTTTTCATATATTGGCGATTTTAACATTTTTATGTAACAAATTATTACGGCAATGACCAGACATTAATCAAGCCTCTATCTGTCACCGCAAATAGTGCGTTTACTATATTCAATATCTCCTCGTGCAAATTTGACATCAACGACCTCTCCAGGTACAGTACCGAGAAGTCGACGCTGAATAATGTTACACGCGCCGATAAATGGCCCGAACAATGACAGTTCTTTCTAGCACATTTTCGAAACATACAGACGCGCGCGCTAACATAGTACCATACCATCGAAAAACTTAAAAACCAATAGATCAATCGCGTAAATTAATAACACACGTCTTTCAGCCCGTCTTTGCCTCCTAGATGCATACATTGATGCCCATATCCCCAATAATGCCTCACAAGCTATTGAGCAGTGCGATAATATTGACACCACAGACAGGGCTAGAAAGCCGATAACCATATGCACCGTGGCGGTGATGTCGAAAATCCATTCACTTACGCTGGCATCGGGTTTCCATGATCCAACAGCGCGGATCCCCAAGGAATGAGGCCTTTCCATTGCACTTCGCCTTGCTGACTCTGCGGATTCTCTCAAAATTCCGAGGGAACTCGGGGTATAATTTCGTTAGAGCGCGGAACTTGCGTTTCGCCCCGCTATCCCTCAGCAATTAATTGAATGATATGGTTAAATTGATTGCATACATGCTCCAATTATCTATGGGCGTAAGAATACGTTGTGCGCCGCAAAATTGTTGCGGTTTCCGTGTAACATGAATGAAATCTAACTTATTTCAAGTTGTGAATGATGTCCCGCGATGTTTCCTATGAACCGACAATGACCTAAATTATTCAACTCTAATCTCATCTTTTGATTCGCCCGCACGACGATATCAAGACACTATACCATTCAAACATCCCTCTCAACACAAGCAGCTCTATTTCCCCCCTCTTAGTCTTCTACCGCTTGTAAAATCCCCATTCACCCGATTAAAACCACACGAAATAGACAATATACCAGCAAAAAAATCAAGCGTGAAACATGAAACTTATACTCATGCATTCCGAGTTACAAAACATTTTTCACACTCTAAAAAGAAAAAAACATATATATAGTAAATTACAGTTACACATGTCAGTTCAGTCGTCTTTGTTCCTACGATCAACTACACGGTGAGACTTTCGAATAATTCCGGCACAAGCAACGATGCCATGCTCGATAATATTCGACACACACACACGGTGCTAAGCGATCACTACCTGCCAGCCGAGGCCGGTGATGTCGAAACATCCATACTTCCCCCGTCGCAAATGCGGCCCTCCATGACAACAAGGCGGATCCCCAGGAACAGGCACTTTCAATTGCACTTACGTGGCTGACTCTTGCGAGTTCTCCCAACATCGAAGCAGAAGCTCGGTGTATACACTTCTTGGCTACGCGGGGCCCACTATGCGTTCTCTGCCCTATCCCTCATAATTAAAACCCCAATGATATGGATAAATTTGTTGCATACATGCTCCAATTATTATATTGGTGTCGAATATTGTGAGCCGCTTTGATGGCTTTCAGTGTATAGAATTAAATCTTAGTTATTTGTGGTTGAATGTCCTCGATTTCTATTAAATCTAATCTCAGTAGTTTGATCGTGCGACTATGTAACCCTCCACCAATCATACCCACTTTAAAGCCAACACATTTCGAAAAGAGACTTTTATCCTATGCTTTGCTAATATTATATCGGACTTTAACTCACATATAGCCTACGGACAACATAATACACCGCAAATGGTATACGCAGAATAGTGCTCACACTATATTCATATTTCCTCGTGCAAATATGACATTCACGCCCACTTCAGGTACAGTACCGAAGTCTACGCTTGAATAATGTTACACCCGATACATGGGGAACATTCAATCTTTCTAGAATTCTGAAACATACATGACCGCTAAGCATAGTAACAAACTATCGAAACTTGAAACCAATATATATATACTATGATATATATCATATCCGAAATTAATAACACACGTCTTCGAGCCCCCTTGTTCCCTAGATGCACTACATGATGCATATTAACATAATGCGCACAAAGCTATTGAGCAGGCGGATAAATATTTGACCCACAGACAGGTGCTAGAGCCGATAACCCACGCATGGCACCCGTAGGCGGTGATGTCGAAACCTCATACTTACCTGCGCATCAGGGGCTTCCATGATCAACAAGCGATCCCCCAGGAAGAGGCCTATCCATGCAAACTCGGTTGCTAGACTCTTCCGTGCGATTCTCTCAATCGAGGGAACGCAGTTGCTATAATTCTTGTTAGAACGGGAGGATCTGCGTTCGCGCATCCTCCTTCCCCGCTACACAATAAATAAATGATGAGGCAAAATCGATGGCATACATGCTCCAATTATTCTATTGCGTAAGATATGTGTGGTCCGCTTCTGTTGGTCCTCTTCTCGGTGCCTTATGAATCGAATCTTACACGTATTCAAGTTGAATGATCCGCGATTCTAGAACAACATTTATATAAATTTCGGCGATTTCACCCTGACAATAATTTAATATACTCTATCTCATCTTGGGAATCGTGCGACAATAGAACACGTTTTTTCCTCTTTTTTTTATTTTTTTTTTTGTTTTTGTTTTTTTTTTTTTTTGCTAATTTTCCAGATATGTTCTCCTTTCTTTCCCTCCTCTCCTTCCTCATTCTCTTTTTTTTTTCAATCTATTGTATACCCCCAGTTCCTATACTACACTTCAAACGGCCACGAACTTTATTCCTACCCGTTGTAAAATACAAACGCGACCTTTAACACGCTTACATTGACAACAATAGTACCAGAAAAATCCAAAGCGTGCAATGACACCAAACTTATCTCATCGGGCCTTTCCAAGGTAGTTATCCACAACATTTCTCACACTCCACAACAAGTAACAAAGAAAATATACTATAGTAAAAATTACTTACACTACGTCCTTTTCAACACCGCCTCGTTCTAGATGCTCTCTTGAAGCGATGGAATAATTATTCTGACAATAATGCGAATCAATCATTGAGAAATGCGATAATTCTGACACCCACAGACCAGGTGGCTAACCCGATAACTACTGCAACCGTAAGGCGTGACAATGTCGAAAATTATACTTTACCTGGGCATCGGGCTCCCAGGATCACAAGGCGGAATCCCCCAGGAAGAGCCTTTCCATTGCAGCTCGGTTTGGCTGACCTGCGATCTGCTCAAAATCGAGGAACTCCGGGTGTAATAATTTTTTGTAGAGGGGACTGTCGTTCGCGCTAATTCCTCCCTCATCTAATAAATTAATATATGGATAAATTTGTGCAATAAATCTCAGCCAAACTTTAGATTTGCGTGTCGGAATATTGTGTAGCCGCTTTGATGCTCCGTGGGTATCAGAATTAAATCTTAAGTTTTATTGTGGTTGAATGTCCCTCGATTCTATGAAATTAATCTCAGTAGTTGATCGTGCGACAGTCAATCCACGTATACCCATCCAACCTTCGAAAAAGAGACTTCTTATTCCTATTGTTTAAATATAGCGGATTTTAACTTAATATTACCAATGGACAACATAATCAAGCGCAATTACGCAGAATATGACTTTCAACTAATATCATTTTCCTCTGGGCAAATAAATGACATCAACGAACGTTCCAGGGTAACCATACCGAGAGATCTAGTCTTGAATAATAGTTACAACACCCGAATACATGCGGGTAACCATGTCAATTCTTTCTAGATTTCTTGAAACATACATGACGCGCTTAACATAGTAATCAAACTAATCGAAAACTTTAAAAAACCATATATATAATATAATATATATATATATCGGTAATTAATAACAGCACCGTCTTCAGCCGTCTTGGTTTCCCTAAGATGCACTACAATATGATAATTTAAATAATGCGCCACAAGCTATTGATGCATATGCGATAATATTTGACCACCACAGACAGGTGCTAGAGCCGATAACAATGCACCGTAGCGTGATTCGAAAATCATACTTACCTGGCAGCGGGGCTTCCATGATCAACAAGCGATCCCCCGGAAGAAGCGCCTTTCATTGCAGCTTCGTTTGGCTAACTCTTGCGATTCCATCTCAAATCGAGGGAGACTCGTGTATAATTTTTCGTTAGAGGGGGACTGCGTCGCGCATCCCTCACAATTAAGAATATAAATGATTGTTTAAATTGAGTTGCAATACATGCTCCAATTATCTATTGCGTAAGAATATGTGTAGCCGCGTTTGTGTTGTTCCGGTGTATTTGATGAAAAATTTAAGTTATTTCAATTTGAATGATTCCGCGAATTTCATGAAAATAATTATACGACATATGACATAATTATTAATCTAATCTCAGTCTTGATCGTAGCCGACAATAGATCACGTTATAGCATTCAAACACATTCAAGCAGGACCTTTTATTCCTACCGTTTTAAAATACTACCGGATTAAACGGAATGATAACAATATACAGAAAAACAACTCAAGCGTGATGGCATGAAACTTATCTCATGGCGTTTCGTAGTTTACAAACAATTTTCACACCTAAAAAGAAAAAAACATATAGTATAGGTAAATTATATACACATGTTCTTTCAGTCGTCTTTGTTCTAATGCCACTACATGGTGCCACATATTTGACATAAGCGCACAAGCCTATTGATGGCATGCGGATAACTCATTTGAACACCACAGACAGGTGCAAGAGCCGGATAACTATGGCCCGTACGCCCGGCCGATGCGACAAACTTCATACTTTACCCTGCCCTCTGGGTTGCCTTCCATGCACAACTAAGGCGGATCCCCCAGAAAGAGGCCTTTCCATGCACTTGTCGGTTTGGCTTGAACTCTATGCGATTCTCTCAAATGCGCGAGAACTCGGGTTATAATTCTGTTTAGCGAGGGGGACTGCGTTCGCGCTATCCCTCATAATTAAATTAATGATATGGATAAATTTGTTGCATACATGCTCCAATTATTATATTGGTGTCGAATATTGTGAGCCGCTTTGATGCTTTTCAGTGTATAGAATTACAATCTAGTTATTTTGTGGTGCAATGTTCGACGATTTCTATAAATCTAATCTCAGTAGTTTGATCGTGCTGACAGTAGACCACGTATACCATTCCAACACTTCGAAAGAGACTTATTCCTATTGTTTCTAATATATAGGGCGGAATTTTAACAATATTACCATGGACAACATAATCAAGCGCCATGTACGCAAGAATAGTGAAACTTCAACTATATTCATTTTCCTCGTGCAAAATATGACCATCAACGAAGCGTTCCAGGTACCAGTACCGAGAGTCTACCGCCTTGAATAATTTACACCCGATACATGCAGGAACATGTCAATTCCTATCTAGAATTTCTGAAAAACATACACATGACCGCATTAACATAGTAACAAAACTATCGAAAAAACTTAAAAACCATATAAATTATATATATATAATCGAATTAATAACACACGTCTTCAGTCGTCTTTGTTCCTAGATGCACTAGCCATGGTGAATTGAATAATGCGGCACAAAGCCTATTGATGCATGCGATAATATTGACACCACTAGACAGGTGCTGAGAGGCGATAACTATTGCACCGTAGGCGTGATGTCGAAAAATCATACTTCTACCTGCAATGCGGGCTCCATGATCAACAAGGCGATCCCCCAGGAAGAGGCGCTTTCCATTGCACTCAGGTTTGCTGACTCCTATGCGATTGCTCAATCGAGAGAACTCGGGTGTATAATTCCTGTTAGCGGGACTGCGTTCGCGCTATCCCTCATAAATTAAATTAATGATATGGATAAAATGTGTTGATACATGGCTCTGCAATTAATTATATTGGATCCGGAATCTTGTGTGCACACTTTGATGCATTTCAGTGTAATAGAAATTAAATCTTGAGTTATTTGTGGTTGAAGGTCCCGTTTTTATGAAATCTAATCTCAGTAGTTTGAATCGATAGCACAGTAGATCACGTAACCATTCCAACACTTCGAAAAGACTTTATTCCATATGTTTAATATATGCGGGATTTTACTAAATATTACCGATGGACAACATAATCAAGCGCAATGTACGCAGAATAGTGACTTTTAACTATATTCATTTTCCCTCCGATGCAAATTTGACAATCATACGACGTTCCAGTACAGGTACCGAGAGTCTCGCTTGAATAATGTTACAGCGCGATAAATTGCGGAACAGACGAATTCTTCTAAGTACATTCTGAAACAATACATGAACCGCTTATCCATAGAACATATATCGAAAACTTAAAAAACGCATATATATGTATATCGTAAATTAATACACACACGTCTTTCAGCCGTCTTTGTTCA